CCCTAAAACTTTGAATTAAGATTTCAGTATATGTGAAAATGGAGGGAAAACGAGTTTTGTGGCCTTGTGAGACTTGTTTACATGTTCAGAATTGTCTGATCTTTAAGGTCCAGGACTGTGCAGCTTAGCTTAGAAGTAAAGTGGCTAGTCAGCACTAAAAGGGGAACCCAAAAGTGAAGTCCAGTTTAAGAAAAACTTCCTGTTTATTTATACTTTAGTCATTACAGCTTTGCAGTTCTGTTCGTAAACTTGGGATAGTTTTCCTGAAGCTAGGCATCACTTTTGCAACCCACCTGGGAAGGTGGAAGCATTTATCTGAGCTGTGCCTTGCTGAGCACAAAACCTTAATACAGTTATTCCTTAGTATAAATGATGTTCACTTATTACATCACTACGTAGTAAAACATGTGCATAGGGAATCTAGAGGCAAAAGCAATCAGCTGTTGATTTGGTGTGATATTCTATGTGTTGGAGAAAAGACCCGAGTTGCGGAGCAGTGATGGCCAGCGCTTTTCTTGCATAGCAGGTGCCTGTGACTGATGGCACAGCCTGGTTTGCAGAGAAGCATCTTGCTCTAAAGATGGCCATTGTCGGACTTGCAGTTCCTCTGGCCAGGCTCTGCCTAATTGCCTGCCTTGCTTTAGTGATTTAAGTATGACCTCTGCCTTGGTTCATGGAAAGTTTACTAGTTTAAGTCTCTGATGTATGAAGATTTCTTTGAAGATGTTGAGTATTCAGATATTCTGAAACTCAAAAATATTTGAATGTCCTGTGTGTTCAACTTATTGGTGTAATATGAAATGTTTATACGTTAAAAATGTCCTTGTTCCTGAATATAACAAAGGATAAACATAATGGCAAAAGAGAACGTTCTTAAAATACTCACTAAAGGAAGAAAACAAAATCTTTCCAAATGAGACATCTGCATTTTAATTTCGTTGTTAGATAATTTTAAAAATTGTGACAGGTAGCGACTTTTCTTGGAATCAGTTATGAGAGACATTTTGTTGATAAGGACAGTAACATCTAAGTTTTGCATTTCTGACTCTAATTTATAAGTCTATGTTGTGAGGCCTTTCTCCTTCTCCGCTCCAGCATGTCGATTGTATGTACTAGAAACAGCTGATATGCAGCTTTTGAGTTCAGTGAATCCTTTTAAACCTCAGCATTGAAAGGATTACTCTCATTGTACCCGAAGTGCCGTGCTTGTCAGCAGGAGGGAATGAGGAAATCTGAGAGGATCCCGGGCTGTCATTCCGTTGTGCTGGGGGACGGGCGGAGGGTGTTGTGCACAGGAGCAGAGACTGGTAGGAATGTTTTGTGTCCTTGAACCTAGTGTTGTTATAACCTGTGACCTGTTCTGCAAAAGCGTGTGCCGGTCATCTTGACTAGGTGAGAATTACTGATCCCAAGTCAGGGAAGCGATTGCTACTAATATGAACTTAACCATTTCAATTAATTTATAATTGGGGCTCTTAGTAGGCTTTAGAGATTGAAATGTGAAGGAGAATAATATTCCAGGTGTGAATTGCTTTTAGATGAGGAAACAAACTGGAAAGTCTTATTCAAGAGAAATAAGGTAAGATTACATTGCCTTGGAGCATACAGAATTTTTGTTTTAGGATTAAACTCTTGTATTTAAAGCATGAGTAAGTAAACAAATGGTTTACTTGGGGTTCTTGATGGTTTAACGGAAATCTCCAAGGCAATTTCTCTATTGCCCCAGAGTTTACTGCCATCCCTGGTCTAGAAGGGAGTGGATGATGCTAATTAAGGCTTACAGGAAATGAAAACCATTCATAAAGCGTAGGGCCTGGTGTAGAGTATAGTCAGAGTGGCATTTTATTAAAATATGTTGTTAGGTTGTGGACAACTAAACATTTTTCAGTAAATTGGCTTCACCCTAGCTGTAGAAAACTCAAGATACTTTTGAGAGCAGTAGACAAGTGTTTTGCAGCGACATCCTGCTGTCCACCTTGAGAAAATTAGTGTCAACTGTGTGTTGCTTTTAAATGCCCAAGTGTAGCACCAGCAGTTAGGAAGGTCAAAATGTGGAGGGAGGATGAGGTGTGGAAACAATTAAGATGTACAGAAAGTGAAACTCTTCCTGCTGACCACTTTTTAATGAAACCAGAGGATTTTTGTGGTTTATATTTTCTGTTAGAAAAGAAGTGTTGGGTTTTTTTTTTTTTTTCCTTCATGAGAAAATTTAATGTTGCCAGTATTTGCTGATATTTTGTTTCATTTTGTTTTGAGGTCTTATTTAGGATATGTCAAATATCATGAGGTTGTTGGTGCTGTCACTGAAATGAATATGATTTGGCATATACCTAAGATTACCAACTTAAATAGGATTATCTTAAAATAGTGAAACCTCTTTGGACTTATTTTTATACTGGTTGTGCTGTTCTAACTTAGTTCTAAAACTTCATTATAGATAAGCTGAGGATTTCTGTGTGTGTGCTGTTCTTTAATATGACCTTTTTCAACAATTAAGGGACTACTGTGTGGCAAGGGAGAAGCCCTGGCAGCGCAGTGGTTAAGCACTCAGCCGCAACCCAGAAGGTCAGGGTTGGAACCCACCAGCCACTCCTCGGGAGAAAGAGGTGGCAGTCTGCTTCCATAAAAATTACGGCCCTGGAAACCCTATGGGGCAGTTCGACTGTGTCCTAAAGGGTCGCTATGAGTTGGAATTGACTGGATGGCAACAGGTTTGGTTTTTGGTTTATGTGGCAAGGAGAATCCATTTTTAATCCTCATAAATCACCCCAAAGTAGTCTTAAAATTTTCTTCCATAGTTTTCATCTCTGCTTTGCTTTTGCCAGACTGTCAGGAAAGTTACTGTTGCTAATCAGAAAAGCTGGTGTTGCAAATACTTGCTAATACATTCTGCTGTTATGTTTGTATTAGTTTGTTTTATAATAAATTGCATGGAAGCTTTTATGATGTGCTCATGTTAGTGATTTTCCAGATAACTAAATCGGGTTTTCTGCGAGACAGCCTGTGCTATTAGCAGCCATAATGCATTTCTGAATCTACCTTTCTAGCCAGACAAAGAAATGCTTTTACTAACAAGTCCCGTGTCTGATATCTAAGTTGATATTTTAATTGTATTGATCACTAACCTACCTGTTCAGAATGCCAACTATTTCTGTGAAATGCCTAGTACCTGGATTTCTGAGAAACAACTCCATTATGGAGAATGGAATCCTATTCATTGGAATATCTTGATGTCCATTGGCAGTTATTGAAATACTTTGATATTTACTATTTGAACTACTACTTAGAAGGTATCATGAGGTAATAATTCTTGAATTTCCCACCTAGGGTCTCCTTTTTATGTTTTGTGTTCCTTTTCCCACCATTCACAAAGTAGTCAGGGCTTTAGACCTCTGTGTAAGTATTGACTGATCTTTATAGGGTAGAGGGAGTCCCTGGACGGTGTGAACAGTTAATATGCTTGGCTGCTAACTGATAGGTTGTAAGTTGGAGTCCACCCAGAGGCATTGGAAGAAAGGCCTGGCCATCCACTTCTGAAAAATCAGCCTTTGAAAACCCCACGGAGCACAGTTCTACTCGACATACATGTGGTCACCATGAGTCAGTTGATTCAGTGGCAACTGGTTTTATAGGGCAGAGAATATTTTTTGCCAGGATATCCCCAGCTTTTTGTTTAGGACCTGGCACAAAGTACGTGCTCACGAACGGTTTTGTTGAATATTTGAAACATGTAAGTTAAGTATTTACCTCTGGAAGGGGAGCAAGAAAGTCAGAGCTATAAGCTTAACAAGCAGGTTCTATAATTTTATTCTTATTTAACGCTTCCCATTTGTAAGGATGCATTATATTTTTATATCCCAGATAGGATTTTTCTTAGAGAACGGTGACTATATATTGGAGTTTTGGAGGTTTGTCCTATAGAAACTCCTTTGGTTTGGAAGTTTAATGTAGAACAAATGTTTTAAGAGTGGTATAGTGGAATTACCCCTAGACCTAAAGTTGGGACCTGGCGTCCTCCTCACAACCTCTGTGACCTTGGATAAAGTCACTGAACTTCTCCCAGGCTATAAAATAGGAGATGACAGTACCTGGCTTCATAGGAGTGTTGTGAGGATTAAATGGCAATGTAAAGCCCCTTAGCACAGTTCCCAGTACATGCTAAGTGCTTGGTAAATGTTAGCTATAACTATTAAATGATTGTATTGATAAACGTTTGAAACAGTGAGTTCGATTTTTATGCTATTGGCTGATATGAAAATTGTTAAGAAATGTCTGCAGTATTCACTTGGACTGCCAAAACTCATTTTGAAATAACAGATTTTTGTTTCTGTTTATTCCAGTGTTGGTTTTCACTTGCTAGCCAGATTCAGTGGATAGTTATTAAGAGAAAATTTCTACTTATTCAACTTAATCTTGCTGTTTTTCCCTCCTAACTGCAACTTCCAGCTTCTTAGCCTATACATTTCTAAGGCCAGTAGCATAGATAATGCTTGAAATCACTTTGATATATTTGATCACTTGGAATAATATTATTGAACACTTAACCATGTGCAAGCTTTATATTTAATTGAATGTCTCCCTTTTGAGCTCTTAGATTGGACAGAAGTGAAGTAAACTAAACTTTTAGAGATTTCTTAGTCATTATTGAATTTTTTTACATTTGGGAGAAAAATACTGTGGTTCTGGTATTGACCCCAGCCCCCTTTGTTGAAATGATAGCTTTATTTATGGAGCAGTTTCATTTTATAATGGATGTAAGGAAAACAAATAGTTTCAGTTATCACTTCCTGAGTTTTTATCTAACAGACAAATTATCTTCAACTTGAAATTTAAGAATAATTCTAAATTTTTTCACAGCTAGAGAAATCCTCTAATATGCCTGATATGAAAATGGCACTGGGGCTTTGTCGTTTTAAAGCACTGAACCTGTTTTTCTGTTTTGCTTTTTTTTTTTTTTTTCCCTGATAATAAAAAAAATTTTAGTCTAGAATATGTGTTTAATTCTAATGCCACAAGTCAGCAGTACTTTATCCAGATTTATCCAGACTTGGAGCGCCTGCTGTGACTGGCCTTGGCCATCTATACGCTGCAAAGCAAGGCTGCTTCTACCAGGGGTCCAGGTGACTAGGCTGAATGAAGTGAGTGGATATTTCTTACACCAAGTACGGTCTGTAGTGGGTAGTAACCAGGTGTTCCCAGAGCACTTCACCAGGCTTGTGGGGGAGAGGAGAGAGGGGAGAGACTTCCTAAGGTGAAGGGATATCTAAGCAGGGTTCTGACAATGAGCGGGGAGCCACCAATGGGTGGGTAGAAGATTTGGGCATAGTTTGTCTTTTGATAATTTTATTCCTTCAGCTAATTGAAGAGAATTAAGGAAGCCTTGAGACCATGTTTGTTGTTATTTTTAATGGACACTGCTCTTCAAATATAAATCTGGATGTGTTCTTGAGAAACCATTTATCTTAACTCCCTTCTCACTACCACCTTTAGGCATAGTTTATGGTAATTTTAATTCTCTTAATCCATTTTTCTGTTTGTTCTCTGTTTGAATGGGAGCATACAGAGATTAGTAATAAACAACAAATAACAGCTTTAAAAGCAATATCACTAACTGAATTTTAAATTATTCTAAATGGTGGAATTCACATAATGAAGTATAGTCTGCTGTCTATGTAGGTGTAAGCCAATTCTGCAGAAATAGTCTCCTGAAAGACGTAGAGTGGGCTACTCATTCACAAGTGTGAGACTGCTGAAAAAGATTGGGTGGAAACCAGAAGCTTCTAGGAGTCCCCTCATAGCCAAAAATAAAGTTTCCTCCTGGGCAAGCTGCCCAAGCTTCTGGATGAGTTGTGGTGAAATCATTAATGGTTGGGGTTTTCTGGCCAGTGAGGCAGGGATCCCACCATCTTTCCGAGTGTGTTTCTAGAGTTCTCTACTGTGTGTGTTTGTCTAGAGGGAAAAAAAAACCTGTTTTTCTTTTTTCCTTGTGTTCGGTTGCTGTTGTATACATACGTGTTCATTTTATTTCTTCCCTCAAAGATTGTCATCACTCTGCTTTTTCTTTTATTTATTGCTTCTCCTTTTGTACCATTTTGATCAGAAAGAGACTTTGTCAATCTTTTAGTTCAATTACTTGTTCTTGGGTCGTGAGTAGTGAAATGATATACCCAAGACTGTAGAACCATTGCAGAAACTTGGGGCTCCTGGCTCCCAGTCCAGCAATGTTCTCATCATTTTCTCTTCATTGTGTGCTTCAAGAGTTTGTCCCTTTCTCCTCTCGTCATGCTTTCTTATTTTAATTCCCCTTCAGGCACTATTGCATTTCAGTTCAAAGCTCTTTCCTCAGAGAATTCAGGGTTTTGGTGGCCATTCAGGCTGACTGGTGGCTTCACCTAGGGCAGTATTTCCCAAACTTGGGAATATAGACAGCCCTTTTCATGGAAAAAAAATTCTCATAGACTTCAGGTTTTTTTACTTGATTAATTCTTTTACTCTGTAATTTTACTGAAATATTTACAGATCAAAGTTAGGTACCAACCAAAACTCGTTGCTGTTGAGTCGATTCCAACTCATAGTGACCCTGTAGGACAGAGTAGAACTGCCTCAGGGTTTCCAGGGAGCAACTGGTGGATTTAAACTGCCGACCTTTTTAATCTGATGGAGTTTGGTTTTGCTTATGTTCTATATTTAGTCTGGTCCAGTGTTTTTACATCAATTCTAATTCAAAGAATGCTGGTTTTCATATATATTTTTTTTTTGTACAAAACAAGCGTTAAGACTTTGATTGCAAGTTGAGAATGATCAAGCCTCACTCATACTTACTCAGACTACCAGCAAACAATTTTGGAGTGCCAGTTTAATGAAGGGGTCGCTTAACTAAAATTAAAAATTTAGCAATTCATTGTTATTTAATCTGTTCAGATGACTAATCTGCTAAAACTAGAGTAAAAACAGAAAATTTCTTCTTCACTTTCTACTACTACCTATGTAGTAGGATTTAACCCTGTATGCTGATAAATGAACTGTTCCAAGGACAGGGAATCTTCAGCACTTCCATCCCGTAGTGAGCAGAACTCAGTGCTCTGCTGCCAGGAACTTAATGAGTTTAGCATGCCTTGAGCTGTGCAAAGCTTTCTTTTATCTGTTCAAATTACTGGAAGCCTGCTTTCTCGCAACGCATGCTGACGTCCTTTGCCATGTACAGGCATGATCATGAATACAAGGGCCGGCCCCGAAATTGCACTGTAGAATATGTACAATGAACCAGCATCATTTTTTAATGAAATGGAAACAACATTAAAATTTTTTTTCGCTGATAAAAGGGCCACATAAACCAGAGACTTCATCAGCCTGAGACCAGAAGAACTAGATGGTGCCCGGCTACCACCAATGACCGCCCTGACAGGGAACACAACAGTGAGTCCCTGACGGAGCAGGAGAAAGGTGGGGTGCAGAATTCGAATTCTAGTAAAAAGACCAGACTTAATCTGACTGAGACTGGAGGAACCCCAGAAAGCATGACACGCAGATTCTCTATCAGCCCAGAACTAAAACAGTTTCCAAGGCCAACTCCTCAGACAAAGATTGGACTGGACTGTGGGACATAAAATGATACTTGTGAAGAGTGTGCTTCTTAGCTCAAGTAGATCCATGAGATGAAATGGGCAGCTTCTGGCTGGAGGTGAGATGGGAAGGCAGAGAGGGTCAGGAGCTGGTTGAATGGACATGGGAAATCGGGTGGAAAGGAGGAATGTGCTGTCACAGTATAGGGAGAGCAATTAGGGTCACATAACAATGTATGTATAAATTTTTGTATAAGAGACTAACTCGAAATGTAAACTTTCACTTAAATTACAACAATAAACAAACAAAAAAAAATTAAAACCAAAAAAAAATTTCTTTTTTCACTGATAAATTAGGGACCCATGAGAAGATATTGTGGTCCTCTGAAAAGCACTGGTGGTTGGAGGTGGGGCTTCTGAGCATTTCTAATCTGTCATTTTAGAACAGAGAATTCTTAGGACAAATAAAATCTCTTTACTGCTGTGCAAATGCTAATTAATTACTAAGGCTGGAGAAGAGAAGACTAGAGGCCAAAGAGCTGTGCTGGCGGGCGGGCTGTGGGTGAACACACTGAGTATGTGGCTTGGATGCAGGACAGCAGGCTCCTGCTGTGGCATAGGGAGTCTGAGTCCAGCCAGTAGGAAGAGGAAGGCTTTCTAATAGTATTCTTACACAGACAGAGTGGCCGCCCCTTATGCAGGATACTGTAAAGGAGTCTTACTTGGTCTAGAAAATGCAGCTAAATAATCTCTGAAATCCTATCTAAGATTTTAAGATTCTAAGTAGGCATGAAACTTACATCTTTTAGAAATGTTAAAATTTTACATAAAATTATTTACTTCACCTGACTAATTGGGATTTTTCTCCCCTATAGTGAGAGGGTCCAAGCCTGGTAAGAATGTCCAACTACAGGAGAATGAAATCAGAGGACTGTGCTTAAAGTCTCGGGAGATCTTTCTCAGTCAGCCTATCCTACTAGAACTTGAAGCACCACTCAAAATATGTGGTAAGTTCTGGCACACAGTTATCTTGGGTTACCTGATTGATTCATTGGGTCATGAATGAGTTGATGACGGCCTTGTATTGGCCAGCAGAATCATTCACTATTCATAAATAACCTGGAACTGCTTTGAATTAAGTTGAATAATTACAGCTTTAGAGTAAATACCTCAGTGGGCTTAGTTTACTTAGATGTGCTTCAGATTTTTAAAAAATTGTTCTCTGGAAGAATATAAAGATTGCAGAAGAAAGGAATGAAACCAAGAATGGAGAGCTAATAAGAAAACGTCTGAACTCTGTGAATATGTGGCGCGCTGGTGGTGAAGTGGTGAAGAGCTCAGCTGCTAACCAAAAGGTCAGCAGTTCATATCCACTAGCCAGTTCCTTGGAAGCCTTATGGGGCAGTTCTGCTGTGTCCTATAGGGTTGCTGTGAGTAGGAATCAGCTTGGCGGCAGTGGGCAACATAAATATATAGGAATTATGCTTAATCTTGAAAAGCCTAAAAATAGAACTTACTTGCTAGATGCAGACAATCAATATTTTTAACTCAGTACACTATAAAAATTAAACTATTCATCCGAGTTTTGCTATATCCTTCTAGAACATTTGACTACATTGATAAATCTTGTTTTTTTTTTTTTTTATTGTGCTTTAGGTGAAAGTTTATAGAGCAAATTAGTTTCTCATTAAACAGTTAATACACAAATTGTGACATTGGTTGCCAACCCTGCAATGTGTCAGCACTCTCCCTTTCTCCACCCATTTCCCTGTTTCCATTTGTCCAGTCTTTCTGTCCCTTCCTGCCTACTCATCTTTGCTTTTGGGCTGGTGTGCCCCTTAGTTTCATATACATGTTTGAACTACGAAAGATGTTTCTCACGTGTGTTATCGGCCCTGTAACCCAAGCCAAGCCAAGCCCATTGCTGTCGAGTTGATTCTGACTCACAGCAACGCAATAGGACAGAGTAGAACTGCCCCATAGGGTTTCCAGGGAGCAGCTGGTGGATTCAAATTGTTGACCTTTTGGTTAGCAGCCGTAGCTCCTAACCACTTCGCCACCAGGGCTCTATTGACCCTATGTTATTAGGTGCTGTTGAGTGGGTTCCAATTCATAGCGACCCTGCACACAACAGAACGAAACACTGCCTGGTCTTGCGCCATCCTCACAAATGTTATTATGCTTGAGCCCATTGTTGCCGCCACTGTGTCAGTCCATCTCATTGGTGGTCTTCCTCTTTTTCGCTGACTGTCTATACGTTGGACCTATAGACCTGTCTAATCTTTGGCTGAAGGGTGAATCCCAAGAGTGACTTCAATACTGAGTTAAAAGGGTGGCTGGGGGTGATAGTCTTGGGGTTTCTGTCGTCTTGTCAGACCAGCAAGTGTGTTTTTTTTTTGTGTGTGTGTGTGTGTAAATTTGAATTTTGTTTTACATTTTTTTTTCCTCCTCTGTCCAGGACGTATGTGTGTTTTTAAAGTCAAATGCTCTTTGGTGTTGTCTAGCAGGAAAAACGAAAAACCGAATGCATTGGTGGCTGTAGTGTGCAGACCTTTTTTCAAATGGGCCAGGGCTCACTAGAGTGCAGCAGGTCCGCTGACCCAGTACCCAGAGACCAAAGCTGTCACAGGTCTGATATTGATCAGCCGACCTGAAAGGAAAGCCATGTCATTCGGCAGGAAGGCATACATAGGCATTAATACTTCTCTCCACAAAATAAATTCTTAATTGAATTTTGTGTGAGATGCTCGACATGCACATGCACTTAACATTTTATTACGCTCAGTTGAATTAAATATGATACAAGATTGGAAATACTAAATGCTAGCTTTCAAATTAAGATTCATTATTAGAGGTTCAAGGAGCCTTGGTGTCACATTGGTTAAGCACTTGGCTGCTAACTGAAAGGTCGGTGATTTGAACCTACCAGCTGCTTTGTGGGAGAAAGATGTGACAGTCAGCTTGCATAAAGATTACAGCCTTGGAAACCCCATGGCATAGTTCTACTCTGTCCTACAGGGTCACTATGAGTCAGAATCAGCTAGATGACAATGGGGTTTTGTTTTGTTTTTTTTTTGAATTAGAGGTTAATGCCATTGTGCAATGAATGTGTAAAGAATGTCTTCCCATAGCTTTGCTATATAAATACGGAGACACTGTGTAACAAAATTCTTGCTTCTAGGTGACATCCATGGGCAATACTATGATTTGCTTCGACTTTTTGAGTACGGTGGTTTCCCACCAGAAAGCAACTACCTGTTTCTTGGGGACTATGTGGACAGGGGGAAGCAGTCATTGGAGACTATCTGCCTCTTACTGGCCTACAAAATCAAATATCCCGAGAACTTTTTTCTTCTCAGAGGGAACCATGAATGTGCCAGCATCAATAGAATTTATGGATTTTATGATGAATGTAAGTACTTTCTATATCTAAAGAAGAGTCATTAAGATACCTTGTCAGAAACAACCGTCAAACGCTTCTGTGGTTAGGGTTTGTGAGAGTTTAGATGCAATGTTATAATCGCTCGTGTTTCCTGTTTCGTTGTCTTGCTTTTATCTTAGATTTTTCCTTCTTGGGGTGGAAGACTAACACTGCCTCTGTGGTGTGATAATGTCCTGGGTTCTTCTATGATATGATGTCAGATTAGGAAGTGATGATCACAGTGGTAGTTTCTCTAAGATAATTATTGTGATATTCACACATAACTTATTTCTTTTTCTTAGAACAACTCTTGAGAATCTGGCCAGATATATTCGTTTTTAACAGTTTGTATAAAATTAATCTATTTAAATGTACAGTCCAGTGATTTTTAGTAAATGTTTAGAAGTGTGCAGCTCGAAACTAAATTCACTTAGTAAATGTTTAGAGTTTTTTTTAGTAAATGCTTAGAGTTGTGCAACTATTACCCTAGCCCCAGGCAGCCAATAATCTGCTTTTTGTCTCTAGAGACTTGCCTTTTCTGGATAGTTCATATAAATGGAATCTTGCAATTTACAGATAGTTTTTGGAAGTTGTCGTTTTTTTTCCGTTCCGGCACATCTGCATCTAAGAAATGTGTGGAAAGGAGGAAGCAAAATTTGTTTACAGTATCATTTTTAATTTTGCAATATTTTATGACCTATTTTGGATTATTTAGTTGAGTACACTCTAAGTTAATAATTGACAAAAAACCATATTCTTAAAGCCCTGGAAACAATCAGTTTTGGTACAGAGTTTGTTGTTTAAAGTAGACAAAAGAAAAGTTTTGGATCCTTGTCTCCGGCCATCTTTTGTGCTCGCCATTTCTGCCAGGAGAGGGTTCAGGTTGGAAGGGAGGGATGCTCAGGAAAATTGCGTTCTAGCCCTTGCTAATACAATTATAACCAGACCAGTAAAGCATTGTCACTGTAGCCCTCCCCTAGCAATGTTCATAACCTTGTTATGTCTCTCAGGGCGTTAAGTTTTTCCGTTTTCATTTCACATTTCACATAGATGGGTCAGCTAGCTCATTTGTTGGAAGCGTAATGTGAAAGGGTTGCATTCATAGCCTTGGCCCTCCTATCACTGGCCTCCCCATAACTGAATGTTTACTTGGACTGTGGTCTTGAGGCCCAGCCATCTAGCTGACAAGATAAATGCCACTGGAAGATGAGGTGAGAGGAATCACCAGGGAGAAGAATGCAGTAGATTCTGGATTCGTGGGACAAATGGGCAAGTAAGACCTTTGACACCGGGAATGAGTGTATAAGTACTGCTAAGGTGGTGCTACTCCTTGGGCAGTGAAATGAGGAGCAGGAGTTTTTTTGTAACTTACTGATGTTTTGGACATTTGTTACAGCTGCTGCTTTTCAGAAGGGTTTAAGAAATTGTTCATTTTACACACTTTCAGCTCAGCAAACACTTGGATGTTTTCTTTGAAGTTCAAATGATGGCGATATATATCCTAACGAGGCACATACATCAGTCTTGGTTTCCATTTAATGCAGAAACCTTTAAAAATGATATAAAAGCTCAGTGTTGGTATCAGTTTTGACTCTTGTTTGGTCATCAAGGCACGTTTATAGACCTCGTACTCGAGGCCTCTGCCTCCCTCTCCCCCCCGCAATCAGACAGGTATAATCTGCCACCCATCTACTTGAGGGCATAAAAGTGTCCTTGATATAGGTGGCTTTAAATCGGTGGTTTGCAGAGTTTCTTTTTAAAAAGATCATTGATCATTTTATTCAAATGAAGAGGTTTATTCAAGTGCAGATCTCTTAAGCAATAGGTTCAGTTCCCAATTAAAATAAGCACCCTTTATACCACTTTTTTTTTTGGAGCTTCATGAATGTGACATTGGAAAGGCTGAGGTTTCTGTTGTAAGACAAAAAGTGACTTGATCTTTTTCTGATACCGGAGCTATCAGACCTGTAGTAATAGGGAACTGCGTTAGGGGTTCTGGCTCAAAATCGTGGGATTTGAAACCTTGAAGGGATTTTGGCTGTTACCCAGGAGTTCCTGGTGGACTGAAGGGGCCTTGGGGAGGCAATGTAGAGAGAAGAAAAAGTAGGGGCCAGGAGGTAACAGGAGGAAGAATCCTAATTTGTGCTAGAGGACCCAGTAAAGATAACAAAGGAAAAAGCGAGATAACGGGAATGTGTGTGATGAAAGAATCAAGGAGCAAAGCAGGTTTCAGGCAGGTGGAGATCGTCGGCAATGGCAAGTACAGAGGAAAAGGACAACTAGAGGCAGTGGGAAAAATCCAGGGAAGCCAGTGGGTGATCGTTCAGAGAGAGGCTTCGGTGGAAGAGGAACCAAATCACTTTTATAAATGGAGGCTGAAACAGTCTGGCCCCTGTTTTTGTATTTCTTACAATAATTGTTATTATTATTACAAATTGGAAATTGGAGGCAGTGATTGTGCACAGGTTCCCCTTCAGTTTTCGGTAAGGAGGAATTCTGTTAAACTTCCGGAATCCTCTAGTGAAGGAAGATTTGGGACAGTGGGAATTAAGTGGCCTCTCAAGAATGCACAACAGATAAGAACTATGGTAAGAGTGATACCCAGACACAGAAGCCAGAAACTATTAGGAGAAAAGACTGTCATCATCCTTTGAAGGGCGATGTCACCTGTTGAATTTGCATTACATTCTAAGCCCTGTGCTAAGCTTCCTACACTACTTGATTTACAGGAGGTAGAAGGTGTGGCTCAGGAAGGCTGTTGTTTGGACTAGCTCTAACTCAAAGGAGAGGTACAGGTTTAAACCTTTAGCTGTCTCTCTAACACCCAGGATAAGAAAGAAGAGACTTAGGACAAATCTCTGATTTAGGAATAAAGATTGTGCATTGACCTTCAGTTTTCTTAGCATAGTGGGATACAGGAGACTTGGGTGCCCCAACAATTGGGCAATCCTCAACCAGTTCAGGTACATTTGTACTTCATTGGGTTGTGAGAAGATTTTTAACTCAGAACACAATTTTCCTGTAAAAACAGTGCCTTAAAAGGTTTATAGTGCTTCTGTCAGTGTCACAATCTGATTCAGACTACATGGAAATACATGGGCTGGTGAGCAAAACATAACCACCTATAACATTGTTTCTGTGGGGAGCATTCTGAGTTTGTGCAGCAGATTAGGAATAGATATTTGGTAGTGCCTGCAAGAAGCAATCTGTATTCCCCTGTGATCATTGTGCCTCTTGCTAGAGTGTTTAGGGGCTGGGGGCTGCCTGGTATCAGTAGGTTATTAACGGGGAAAACAGGGTGGGTCTCAGCTTTTAGGGGCTTCCTCAAAAGGAAGATAGTAACAGCACATGTATAGGTTGTTCTCAAATTGTCTTTAGATAGAAATACAGAGCTTATGTGTAGGTAGAAATTAAACAGAACAACAGACTACATTTTGGAGTTCATGCTACCAAGTAATTGCTGGGTTTGATGATAATCTATAATCATTATCATGTCTGGAATTCTGATTTCTGATGTCTGCGGAATTTTTAAGTATTTCATGTGAAAATGTAAATTGTTTATAGTTCAAATAATCTCAAAGTTATATCTAATTTTCCTAAACTCTCTAAGGGATAGTTAATAAAAGATCGTTTCCACTTAGTTTATAAGATAATCAGAACCTTGGTTTTTTGGAAATTATCCTGAGAAAACCATACAGAACCGCAGTCTCATTAACCACCCTAAAATGTTCATAGGTAAAAGAAGATACAACATTAAACTCTGGAAAACGTTCACAGACTGCTTTAACTGTTTGCCGATAGCCGCCATCGTGGATGAGAAGATATTCTGCTGTCATGGAGGTATGTGGGCTGAGTTAAGTTCCAAACAGATTTTGATCTCTTCTAAAAGGTGGACACTTCAGCATGTATGAATGGTTGTTTTGATGACTTCCCATGTCAGGTTAATCTTTGTCACCATGTTGTATCACAAGTCTACTCGGACACACCCAAGGTAGTTCAGATAGAAGTTTGAAGCAAGGAATTACTGTGTTAAAAGGAACTGTAGGCTATGTAAAATTTGACAGTAGACAATAGAAAATATTTTTAAATAGAAAATGAAGAGCAATTAATTTGCTGTACCACAGATCCTCTAGAATACTGATGATGTGAGTAGGCTTTCCTTGGATCTTTTCCTGAGACTCTCCTTGCAGAAATTTTTCTGACTTGGACTTTAAAAGCTATTATTTTTCTTCAGTCATTCAAGGATCCTGTCTTCTATCTTTGAATTGTAATTGGAATGTTGCTGTGCTCAGTGGTTGTGCTTTGTATAGTGTAATTAAAACAGTAATTGCAACGGGGGGGGGGGGGAATTCTTTTCACCTGTGGTCAGAAATTGGGCAACCGTCAAAGAGCCAACATAACGTGTTTTAGTACAGGCACTGTCCCTGCCTTTCATACTTAATGAGTTTTGGTAGAGATGGGCATGTGATTTTTTAACTCAGATGAAAGTAAATTGTATCTGAGCTGGTTTGATACATTTGAGACTCAGGACTTGAAGACCCATGGACAGCACAGGTTTCCTAGAGAGCCCCGTCACTCCTGAGCATTACATCTTCTATTCCCAGTCATTATAGGTGATCACTAGTAAAATCCAGTACATCCGTTGTCCATTATTCTCCTCCTCAACTTCAGGGGTGGGGAGCAGAGGAGTAATTTTAAAAGTCACTGGATTTTAATTTCACAGGTTTCTGTAATGTTACAGCGACTATCTCCATATACTGTTAAAACATAGTGTGCCCCACAAATTAGTGCATATAATGAATTCCATTGTTTTTATTCAGTTGAGTTTTTTGGTTTTTTACTTAAAACTACAGAATAAACAAAACATAGCCCCATAGATCTAAGCCTAGATATCAGTCGTTTGGTCTTTCTGTAGATACATGGAGCTGGTAAGGTGATAACGTCCTTTTTAAGTTTCATTGTCTTCCTTTTTTGTTTCCCCCCTTCTCATTGATAGGTTTATCACCAGATCTTCAATCTATGGAGCAGATTCGGCGAATTATGCGACCAACTGATGTACCAGATCAAGGTCTTCTTTGTGATCTTTTGTGGTCTGACCCCGATAAAGATGTCTTAGGCTGGGGTGAAAATGACAGAGGAGTGTCCTTCACATTTGGTGCAGAAGTGGTTGCAAAATTTCTCCATAAGCATGATTTGGATCTTATATGTAGAGCCCATCAGGTATTGATTTTGAATTTTACATGTACCCTTAAGAGCATGTGTGTGAGCACAGATTCTCCTTGTTGATTTTGGTGGGTAGGTATTGCTTATTATACATAATGTCTCTGGAAACTACCTACCAGGGTATCAGGCTCATGGGAAACTGAAGAGGGGTTTTACTCAGCCAAAATTTGCTTGTACTTATAATGAAAACATTCTCTCTCCAAGGTGGTTGAAGATGGATATGAATTTTTTGCCAAGAGGCAGTTGGTCACTCTGTTTTCTGCACCCAATTATTGTGGAGAATTTGACAATGCAGGTGCCATGATGAGTGTGGATGAAACGCTAATGTGTTCCTTTCAGGTACAGCTTGTCTTCACTATGATTTCCTTTTATGCAGTCTTAATTTTGCTGAGTCTTAAAAATTGGTTGTGTACTTTCATTTGTGTTGCATAGGCTAAATTTTTATTTTCCCTTAACCAGTGTTTCTCCAACTCCTGTAATGTGTAGGCCTCTTTTAAAGAAAAAAAAAAGTGTGTCCTGTACCCTTTACCCCAGTGTTGTAGTTTAACTGTTTTTATATTACTTAAATAGGTAAAAACATAAAATAAATATTAACTCCTTATGCTTGTGGCTCTTTTACTGTAAATCTAAAATCTTAATGTCACTGTGATGTTCTGCTAAAAATTAAATCACTGCTTGCGTGTGAAAGAATACGAACTGCCACATGCCAGATGTTCTGTGTGAATACTCAGTTCTACGACCATTTCTCTCTGGTCTAATTTCTGTGCAACCTATGTTGACTAACCATGATATCATTTGGCCTTCACTTGGCACAAAAGCATCATTTTATACATAAAGGCGACCTTAATCTTTTTCTCATTTGCTTATGATAATTAAACTTGTACAACTTTAAGCTAGCTTAGTTGTAAACATAAATGCAGCCACTGGATTCACCTGGCCAGGCATCAGCAGATAAACCACTATTTGCCAATTATGGAGAACTCGCAGCTCCCTGAGATTGAAAGAAGATCCTGTAGGTATTTGAGAAACACTGCTCTAAAGAACACTTCCCGTATGTCAGGGGAGTAGCCTGAAGAGACTACCAGGTACAGACTTCAGAACATTGTCATTTTATCCAGAGCCAAAATAATTTGTCCAGATCACATATTTTATCTGCTCCTTATAGTAATTATTACCAAAATATTTGCTTGTCAGCCTGGTTTGTGTTGATCAGTTAGAGAGGCTTTTGGAGTACTTTTAAATAGTCAAGAATCTTTCTGAAGAAAAGATTTGAGGGATATTTAAGGACTCTTTTAAGGTTTTGAGTTGAGTGTGTTTTCTAAAACACACTGTCGTTTGAATCTTTTCAGATTTTAAAGCCTGCAGAGAAAAAGAAGCCGAATGCCACTAGACCCGTAACACCACCAAGGGGTATGATCACAAAGCAAGCAAAGAAATAGATGTCATTTTGACACTGCCTAGTTGGGACTTGTAACATGTAGTATATAACTTTCGTTTTTAAAACTGTAATGTGTACTGGTCAGCTTGCTCAAATAGAACTGTGTTTGTGGGCCCTGCTCCATATTTGATTTACTGAATAGCATTTGCTGGTTGTAACAGCAAATGAAAGACTCTCTCCACTCCCAAGAAAAGTGTTTTGTTTTTTAATTCTCTATTCCTTTTGCAAACAACTTTTAATGATGGTGTTAAAGCTGTATACCTCAGGACAGTTTATCCTGTCTAAGGGGTAAGTACACAACTGATCTTTTTTTAATTCAGTACAACCCATGAATAATGTAAATGCTCATTTTCTTTAGGGCATAAAGAGAGCCCTAGGGTGCTCTGAATCTATACATGTTATTGTCATAAAATGCATACTGTCGATATAAACCACTGTGAACATTTTTTTTTTATTTGTTTCAAAGGGATTGCTTTTTTTCCGCTCATTGTCTTTTCATGTACAAACTAGTTTTTATTGCTATCAACATTAGGAGTAACTTTCAACTTGACAGCATCACTGGTATGATGTGTATTTAATTAAAGCACATGTTTCCCCGTCATATACTTCAAATGACGATTAAAGCCACTATTTTAAATGTTTGTGATTCTTTCCTAAAGCCAAAGTTTCTGTTGAAATATGTATTGACACAGCCCTAACTAGAAGGTGGCATGGTTATGTACAGGTGCCACTTTTTGGGGATTCAAAAACAGGTTTTTGTTTTGAATAGCAGTTAGTAAGATAGTGCGGTTTAAGCTATTAATGATTGAAGTTAATAACATTTTGTACAATTTCCATATAGTCTATTCACTAAGTAATCTTTTTACAGTTGCATCAGGCCTGAACCCGTCCATTCAGAAAGCTTCAAATTATAGAAACAATACAGTTCTATACGAGTGACCGATTATGCTTTCTTTGGCCTACGTTCTTTATTCTGCGGTGAAGTTGAGGCTTATAAGTCAGAACAAAGGAACTAACTTACTGTCCACCAGTTTATACAAAACTCACAGTATCTATGACTTTTTTAAACTAAGATCTGTTAAAAAGAAATGTTTCAACAGATGACCGTGTATAATACCATGTGGTGAAAATGAATTCAGACTTATTAAATGAAGAACTTGTTAAATCCTCTCAGTGTCTGTCTATCAGCACAATACACACAGGAGAACTGTTGATGGCATATTGAATAGATTTTAATGAATAAATTGCTCTGGAAACCTCACAGTCTCAATTTGGATTTGTCTTCCTTCAGTCTTGTGTTCCAGAGGTGGATTACAACGTGGATGCTCATATTCTGAGCTGTAACCTGGAAATAACTAAATTTCTGGAAGTTTAGAATAGAGTGATGAGATTGAACTATGCTGTTGTGGACAAGACCTACTATTAGGGGAGGAGGGATTTGTTTAGCTGTGATCTGTCCAAATCCTTGTGACATAATCTGTATCTGTGCTGTTTCCTTACTGTCTGGGTTCAGTTGAACGTGGCAGTAAAGAAGCTGCCTTGTTTATTAGCCTTTATTACACTCACTTGGCCCTCAGTGTTTTCACACACAGTTCTTGGATCTCTTTCCCTTACCAAATTCCAGTGGAACACAGTGTTGTGCTGTATTACGTTTGTCACAAGTGTGTTGAATGCATATTAATCTCTCAGAGTACATTAAAAGTGGGTGAAGAGTGTGTCATTTGAAAAGTATTTCCTTCTGTTAAAAACTGATTTCCCTTGGGGTATTGGGAGAGGGCCTTCTAGGGAGGAAATGTTTGGAAAGACAGTGGGATGTGAGGACAGAGCGCCAGGGCCCAGCCCCAGTCTGCACTGACATGCACTCATCAGAGGCCTTGGCCTGCCTTTCTGACCCTCAGTATGCTCCTCTTTGAGTGAGGGAGGGTGGACCTCATGGCCTCTGGAGCCTTCCTACTCCACTTTCTGTGACATACTCAGACTTGCAGTTATTTTACTTTTCAGTAATATTCTCCCAGACTCCTTTGACTACAGGAAGAAAAAGATAGACAATAATAGATTGTGTCATAGGCAAGCTTTGTTCGTCTTTAATCCATGCCTGGACATGATCAATTGTGTCAGAGAGAACATAGGCATATTGCACCGGTTAAGTAGAGAGCAAAATTGATCTTTGGTTTTAGGGTGGAGATCTTAAGAGAGACCCCAGAATTTTGAAATCAGCATGTGAAAACAGAACGGGAGTTCTTATATATCTCAGTCTACACTCATCTTCTTTTCCTCATTCTTACCTAAGTGTGCACTGAGGCCCCGTCTGCCTTTATAACCTAGTGGTCACACACACTTGGTTCAACTCCTGGCTCTGCTCCTAGCTTAGTGATTGGGGTGAGTGGCTTGAACTCTGAGCCAAGTTGTCCCTAGCTGTAAGACAGGGACAATAGTATTTGCTTCATATTATGAAGCTTGAATGAAAGAATATGATGTCTTCAGAAGAATAATTGACCCATAATTAATAATAGTAAGTGCTATTAACTGCCTTAATTCCAGTTCTGTGTGTTTGTCTATCTCAGCTGGCTGAGTTTTAAGTGGCACCTGTCCCTTATGCCCTGATACTGAGCGGTGGATAGCTAAGCATTTCTGAGCATTTACTGCATACAGAACACCATTATAGATGTTTTCGGCAGATAGGAAAGAAAGAACTAGGAAACATAAAGTTGTTGCAGTAATTATTGTGACAGTTTAAATTCTGGTTTTCTTATACATGAATTATTTCTATCACAGTACCATAATAAAACCATAGAGTAAGGTGACTGCCACCTTATGTATCTAAGTAATTTATTTAACATAGTTGAAGCCTATCCATTGGAATTACTTCTTTGGCCCATTTGACTAGGCCGGCCCTCATCTAACTGCTGTGGACAGCACAGAAGTGCTGTGACTTAAGAGTAGAGGCTTCTCAAGTATCATACATATAACTGGAATAGGTGATGCGGGGACTAGGAGCAAAATATTAAGTGCTGAGCCATGAAGAAGATACAGGGCTTAGACTGATAGGAGAAATCAAGTTTCCCAATGTGGGACTGTGATTGGAGGTTGAAAAGGCACTTGGTTCTTTGGGAAGAGAAGACAGAAGATCCGCTAGTAAACTAAGACAAGGTGGGTATCATGACACTCAAGAAGGGCCAAGGAATCATTGCAGGAAGTGCTGCGTGAAGAAAATTTTCTTTCGGCAGTTTGCAAACTGAGCATGTGACAGTTATAAAGCAAGGGTGTTATACTCCCAAATATTACTTGAATTTAGTACAGAGGACACTTTGGAATCTGCATGAGGACAGAGAAGAAATACTTTGCCCATGGTTGAATGTATAGAAGACTTTAAAAGAGTTAAGAAAGTAGGTTAAAACAGGTTTGAGGTTCTCTATGCTGCCCATTTTCCCATCTCTTGAGAAAAGAGACCTGAAGCCCATTCACCCTTACGGACCAGCTCGCTTGGATCTGCAAGAATGATTCTCCACTTCTTTCAGTTCTGCAGATTCAGACAAGAATAGGACACCCTCTGCCCCAGGCTTTGGTTTCCTCCTCTATAAAATAGGGATAATAGAATACCTACTTCATGGGATCGTGAGGATTCACCCACAAAAAGTGCTTACAATTTAACTGGCAATAGTAAGCATTTGATAAGCATTAGCTATCATTAGGCATCAAAGAACGTTTCTAAAATTTAAACCAATCCCAGCGCAAACGAACTTAAAGTTTACATGAGGAGAACTTGGTCCAGGTACAAGCAAAAGTCAATCCCAATTACATGTTAAGAGTGAAAGTGAGGACAGTACAATTAACTTCAGCCTCTGTTCAAGACTGAAATAGAATGAATATGTGCACAAAATTCTTGGCATCCCTGACTTTCGTGCCTGATTAACGACTGTGTGGTCGGAGACTACTGCCATCCCATCATATCAGCACAACAGCACCAGTAGCTCCAACAAGGCCTGGCATTAGGATTTATTGCAAATATCTGAATAATTTCAAACACAGGTAAGCACTTTATTTTTGTGAAAATTATGCCATATATACACGTTTATATAAATTTCATTGGAATATATGTTACAGGAATAAATACTGCACTTTGGATGATTTGAAAGATGTTAATTTTGTAATAAAAAACTAGAACTGAACACTTGCAGTGACCAAAGAGGGAAATAAAGTTATCTGGAGAAGTTTAGGAATAGCTTTGTACTCTTTGAGCTAACAAAAGCTTATAAAAATTTTAAAATATAAGGCAAAATAGTGGAAATTAGTTGGTGTGGCAGTAATCTTAAGTGCTTCTGAAAATATTCAGAAAGCATCTTGAGGCACTCAAAGCTTGAGATTGTGTGAAAATAAATCATTGCCATCAGCCAAATCTCTAAGTCCAAGAATAAGGGATAAGTCTTATCTTACTACTAGGATGGAACCCTTGATTTTGGTGGTAGGCCAGCCAAAAACCAACTTGCTCTTCCCCCCAACCTCAGGTAAAACTGTCTTTATTTAGCGTCACAATGCAGTTACTGACCACCAGAGCAAATTACTACCCAGTATCAAACTTTGGGGAGTAATTTGACAATTCCCATTGTACTACTTAATATTTTGGGATACAATTCCAAATACATTCTCGTGTCCCAAAAGATCAGTTCTCTAGCAGTGATATTTAGCTTTGAACCGATAACTGATTTTAATACTCGTTCAGCCAGGATGTACGTTGGGTGCAACTCTAGAAAAAGATCTTTAAAGCCATTTAAAAGTGCATATTCCTTTTTTCCTTCTAGCTACCAATTAGCACAGTATCAAATAGCCTGTCTCCCAGAGAGGACCAGCCCACACCAGTTGTTCAGGACTGGTGAACAAGAGAACAGTAAACCAGCCTTTATGTTCTTGGACAAACTGGCTGCTTGACCTTTCCAGCAAAACCCTGCCAAGTTAGGTAGGTGCGGCAGAGAGCGGGTGGGATAAAAGATGTTGAGGCTGCTGGAAGTTCCTATGCCATCTGCTAAGAATGTGCTCATTCACCAGCTCTGTAAGCCTTCAGAGGAGTCAGAGTCTATACCTGTTTGTTACCAGTGTGAAAGTGCTGCCTCCCACATTTGGATTACCTACCCAGAAACACCTTATAGTGTCATTATATACAGTAATGTCAGTCATTCAGATTAAGGGTTAACTGAGGAGCTCTGGTGGTGCAGTGGCTAAGCACTCTGCTGCTAACCAGAAGGTCGATGGTTCGAGCCCACCAGCTGCTCTGCGGGATAAAGATGTGGCAGTCTGCTTCCATAAATAGTACAACCTAGGAAACCCTATGGGGCAGTTATATTCTGTCGTATAGGGTTGCTATGAGTCGGAATCGACTTGATGGCAGCGGGTTACAGGGTTGACTGTAACAGATCATAGACTCAAATATCGCCCCAGTGGTGAGGTGTGAACAGTAAGATGCGAGGATCCAGCATGGTGGGGTTTGCTAACTTCAACTTGACTTGGGTTGTTTGAAGTCTTTGCCAAGTGCCTTTCATTGTTCTGAAGCCTGTGGAGTATTTTCGTCTCATGGCAATGGACCATGTACAAGAGAAACAAGAAGCAGGCAATCTTAAGATTTGTTGCAATGCAAAGTGTTTATTGAATGTACATTTGGGTCACTAGGAATGGCATGTTTTTATAAGGTCATAAAAACAAAATGTGTAATCTTGTCCAGGTCAACACCATTAATTTTAAAACCTCTGTTTTTCGATTTACAGAAAGAATGGGTTGAGAAGAGAAATTCTCTTCCCAGCTCAAAAAGCTAGGATTCCTCTAAGACAGTGTTGTTCAAACTTTTTTGACAGGTGGGACCCTTCAGAGAAAATCGTCAAAGGCATTATATGTAAAATGAATAAAATCAGCTCTATTAGAAGCAGGGGCTGGGGGATGCTTGCTCTCCCCCCTCCCCCACCCCACCGACTTCAGCCCCCAAGAATTGAAACCCTTTCTCTAAGGGAAACATGGACTGCTACTTTCAGGTCTGTATTTATAGGTCAGCTTCCATAAGATGTCAGTACAACCTTCTACTGTTAGAGTCTTCTGGACTTTGTGTGCCTTGTCTAAGGTCTAAATAGCTAAGAAATTACACGCAACTACTCCCCAGGTAGCTAAGTCAAACAAGTGACCCCTTTCAGAGTGGTTAGCTGGTTTTCCTTTCTTTGCATTGCATTATGGGACACAGTAGATAAAGAAAGCATTCTGCAGGTCCTAGCAAAACATCCTTTAGGGTTTATTATTAGGGTTTTCATTGTGGAGGTTTCACAAGAGCAAGTACCACTTTCTGTATTCTTGATGTGTATATGTATATGATTTAATTAGATATGTTTTAATGTATACCTTATGTACTGTATTTTTAATGTCTTTTTTGTGAAGTATATCTTGACACAAAAGAGTATATATAAAACAAACACCCATCTACCCGCTACCTGGTTTAAGAAATAGAATATTACCGATATCTTAGGAGCCCCCTGTGTGTACCTCTCCAATGGCATACTGATCTCTCTCCCCTCAGAATTAACCACTATCTTGAGTTTGAGAGTAATCATTTTCTTGCTTTTCTGTGTGTGTCCCTGACCTTAAACAGTGTTGTTAAATTTTGCCAGTGTTTGAACTTCGTATAAAGAGAATTATACTGCACATATTCTTCTATAAATGGTATGTTTTAATTCATAAAACAACAACAAAAACAATGCCAAGGATTAAAACATATCATCACTGAAATCTAGAGACTTTGGGATTCAGGTGCCTGTCAGTTTGGCTTTAACCCTTGCAAGACCCATGGGACATAAGGTGTCCCACCCACTTTTTATGCCTTTGGAGTTCTTTGGAAAGAGAGTAGCCCAACTTTAACGTGTTTAGCCTCAAGGTGGGAGCCGGTCCTGAGTGGGAGCCTCATTTTTGTGTAGATTGAGCATTATCTTAGGTGATGCCTCTGGGATGTGTACACTTTCTAAATTTTTGACAGGTTTACCTTTATTTCTGTGAGATAAGCCTCCCAGTTACTGTGTTCTGGTGAGAACGTACTTAAGCTATTCCCAGTCTTCATTCAGTCATAGGGTCCATTTTTTCCTTTATTGTTTCCAGATGTTACTGGCTCCCTTCTTCTCTAGCTTCAGAACGGTAAATAATGCCTTTCCAATAAGGAATAATGCATTGCAATTGTACTTTTCAAGAGATTGGAACTCCTGTAAGTTATTCTTACCCAGCATTGAATCTTAGGGCCCAATCATTGCTTCCACATGTAACAGGTGGAAAGCACAGCTGTGAGCAGTTCCACAGTATTCCAGGGCAGCTGTTTCTGCCTCTTGTTACTACTGCTTTTGTTATAATGAAGAATACATACTAGTGGTGATTTTCCTGAGATAAAAAAAATCCCTTGGCTTTATTTGGGCTGTAAGTACCGCTTTTGCAGTAAGGAAGAATGCATTGTACCATGTTTTGAAAAGTTTCATGAAAATTAATAAAAAGGCTAGAAGGAGACTAGAATAAAATGTATGTGCAGCCATTGCCAAGTGCCTTCATCGTTTACTTCATGTTTTGCAAATTTCAAGAAACAAAATTTAAAAAAAATTTTTTTAAACCGATTTTATCATTGACTCATATTGGCAGGATTTACACTGTACACAGTCCACTGGCACACATGTGATCACAGATAATGGCTATCAAAATCCATAACTCATAACAAAAATTCTGAATTGGTCCTTAAATCAGTGTCCCTTCATTAGTGAAAATACATAGGCTCATCCTTTGATCCTGGGTCGCTCTTCAAGTGGGAATTGCCTTCTACTTTGTATTTAAATTATTTGAAGTTAAACAAAAACCAAACCCTTTGCTGTCAAGTCAATTCCAATTCATGGCAACCCCATGTTTTACAGAGTAGAACTGAAATTCTTTTAAGATCAGAGTGTGAGCAGAAAATAGTTTATGGATGGTTGGATTACTATTATTGTTTTATTTTAAAGACCCCTGTTGATCTGCTGTGCAGTTTTCCTTCCACAAGAATTCATCGTACTCCTTGTAGAAAGGCCTATCATATTTACTGAGGCCAGAGAACTAGAACAGAGACCCGGTGGCAGAGGCC